TCAGCGTATGCTATTTGAAATGACTTATCCTATAACAAATCCTATAAGAAACTGGAGTAGCTTAATACTAATCTTAATACACAAGTCTGAATGTAATTTCTTGTTGACTGTAGTCATTTAACTAATACATAGTAATTAAATATATATTTATAATATATAAATAAATATTTTAATATTATTTTTATTAAATTATTAATAAAACAATTACTACATAATAAATAAGTCAGTTAATACATACTACTGTATACAAGCAGGGCAGAGACCTGAGAAATACTGTGCAATGCAGGATGGAGAAGCACTCTTATCTAAATTTGTGGCTAGAAAAATACAGGTAACAGGGCTGAAGACACCTGACTTAATTTATGAAGTAGAAGTTTTCCTATGTTAGTTAAAGTTAACATGTATGAACTTTTTTGTCTTTTACAGAAAATGTCACTTTTTTCTCCACTTCATTGTTCTTGGGAAATACTACTACTGAAAGGAACACGTACAAATATAACAACAAAACCAAAGGATTTCACATTTCTAGTAAACAAACACATCAAGCATAGCTGTGCTCCAGCTCACCAGTTTACAGGGAGGCTCCCTCTACTGACCTTGTCCAGAACAGTTCAGCTGTCCATAGTACCAGAGCATCACACACACAAAATGATTGTCTAGCAAGTGTTAGCACAACATTTCTAGATGTTCATTCTTAAATTGTCTTACCAGATGTGAAAAACTTTTTTGTTTAGAATCACAGCTGCAGCGTTCCCAAATGAATGCAGAAACTGGAGAACTAAGGCTTAAGGAATTTACCTGTTTCTACAAAGTGAGCTTACTTGAATAGACCACATGCAGCAATACAGGCCAACAGCCAATGACAGTACTACTGTTGATTAACAAATTTGTATCTCCTTCCTCACTAGTTTTCCCTTGTGCCTCCTTTGTGATGTTGCCAAGTAGACATTACTTTTACATCAGTAAAAATGAATGGTGTTTGATGCTCTTAGAATCTTATGACAACTGCTGGTCATATACAGCTGGGTGCCTGAAGAGACAATGATGGGCAGGCCATCTGTGCTCCTTCTTTCTTATGGGCTTTAACACTACTCTGTAAAACTTCATTAGTTAAACTAATTACAATACCCTGATGTGGTATGTTCACTGGTAGTCAAGTGTCCTCATACTTAAAAGAATCACCTTAAGGCTTTATACCCATCTATCTGCAGAACTAGACTTTTAACTTCAAAGCTACATAACTTAAAACCAGAGCCTCATAAAAAAAATATTACTAACTCTCATTCTGAAGGTGGAAATCATTAATCCATATTCTACTATCTTGAGAACCACCTTAAACAGCGTTCTGTGAAACAAAATCCCTTTGCTTCCAAGAGCCGTTACCGGAGAAGCCTGGGACAGACAGCTGTGAACTGAATCACATGAAGTGGAAAACCACCATTTTTATGATGGCAAACAGACTGGCCACCTACTCTCTAGAGCATGAGAACCAGTATCTGCATTCTTCTGAAGTACTACAAACAAAATTCAAATGATCAGAAGGACCACGTGTTTGGACAGCACACCTTTCCAGGTAAATTGTTACCCTATTGTAAGAATTAGTTGGCCTTGCTTGTATAGTCTGATTGTTCCAAGTACTTTATCCCACAAACCTGCAGATACAAGTAGATCTTAAATAGTCCCAAATGGAAATGTCCAATTGTATTCTTACAATATAGATGCAATTGTTAAAGTGTGTAATTAGCAGTATTGAAATTCTGATGAGGTAAGATCTGATAAAGTTGTAACACCCGAAGTTATCAGACTATTTCTACACTATCTATTGTTCCCTCTGCTCCCTGAGGAGCAGTGGTACCCCATGAACAGGGAGCTCAGAGGCAGACAGACAAGCTCTGGCAAACCTTGCTGCTGCCAGTTCTGCAAGTTGCCACCCCTTGGTTTTGCCTCCCTGTACAACAGTAACCATTAGAAGAATCTGCAGTAACCAGTTGTGGAGGTCAGCAAACTATCACTGCAGCCAGAATTTTATCAGTATGCTCTGAATTCATACTGCTGCTGAAAACCACCAAAATCAGTCTATAGCTTATGTCACTTGTACCAAAGATCCTTTTCAGAGAACCTATGTTGGAATCAAAGGAGGGAACAACTTACTGGCATAACTTAATACCGTAGAGGGCTTCTACTATGTGAATCAACCAGGATACCCAGAACCTAATGGAAAGAAAACATGTTTTATTTTGTTGAAAATGAGGGAAAAGATGGTTGTATCCAAGATGCATTATGCAGAGAATATAAACCTGGAAGCATAGAAGTGACATCTTACTTTAACGTAGAAAGGGAGGGGTATTTTTTATCTTAGAAAAAAATATGTGTGCACTTAAAAGAAACTGAAGTCCACTCAGAAAATCAGAGGAACTGTAGCTCATGTAATATCCCTCAACCTGCTATTTCAAGTATCCACTGCAGGCTTCCAAAACTTTCAGCACTTAGATTAAGCCAAAAAGACAAATGCTTAGTGAAAGCAGTACAAGTTAATCTTAGCTAAGCATGCAAAATCTATCCTTTTACTTACATGAGTATTTTTAGTGGTCCTAAGGAGCTACTTCAGTTTTTATAGATTTAGTTCTATGAAAACAACTGTGTGTATAGATTCAGAATATATAATATGACTTGATGAATCAAACTCGGTCTACCAGTTTTCATATGGAAGCTTTTAAAAATAAAAAGTTACACAGGATATTCAGTTAAGCTCAATTCAATACATTGCTAAAGCAAAGATGAAGGTTTATCTTCTACATGATGCATGGTAAAATAAGTGAGAAAGCCTTGCTGATTTGTCTTTACCGGAAGTCAGCAAGTGACAGACCTGCTCACAAGGAAATATTTTCCAGCTCTTATGTTAATTAAGGTGACAAAACCTAAGTTTTGTAACCCAGCAAAACTCAGCGCTATGCAGTTTGTCCAGCAGGTTATTTCTCATGGGGACAGGATCAGGATAAGTGAGTACGAGGGTAGAAAATGTTCTTTAATTGAAGCTGGAAAAAGAAGAATCCTAAAGAAAGAACTGGACTACTCAAGTAACAACTTGAGAAAAGAACCACTTTTAGGAGGTGGTACAAATATAACTTCACAAATGGACAAACAACTGTTGTCAAAAGTAGTATCTTAACATTTTTTCCCTTTCTTGCTATAACATCACTGATGCCAAATTCTAAGCTGAATTTTTAAACTTTCATACTGGTCTTAGCCTATGTAGTCTTCTACATACTTTTTATCCCACATCCTTAATTATAATGAGCTTGAAAGGAGAGCTCTTTAAATCTAATTAACGATTGGGTTACAGGAAAGCTTGTTAACACAGACTAAGCACAAGAGACAGAGACAGGCAAAATAATACAGTCAAATATAACTTACATGTAGCATACCCACTTGTGGTGGTGTTCCACTAAATAATTAAGGAAGGTACCAAATATTCCCAAATAACTATAAGGTATAGTCGAAGGCCAAAGTGTTACCCACTAAAAAAAAAAAAAAAAATTAGCTTACTTCAAAGTAGAATTACTATCAATTTAACCTTTAATGAGCTTTCTTTTTGCTCTCCCCACCCCCCATGTCCATTAAATGTGGTTTAGGGCTTATTTATTCATAGTATTTAAACTCTTTCATTCCATTAACCTTGTCCAAGATCCATCAACAAGGCAACTGGCCTTTGAGAGCACACTTACTTAAAAAGATTCAAACTATGAAATTTCTTTCTCTTGACATACAAGATGCCAAGGGATAAGCTTAAGGTTGCTGTCTGGGTACCAAGAGTGCGTCTGCACATTAAGTGGCATTTCAGTTGTAAGCTCATTACCCATTAGACATGGCAGCTGCAAAAAACACATTGTCCTAAAGAAGACAATTTGAGGAAACTGACCTGAAGAATTCAAACAGTGACTAAACTGTTTAGTAGGAATAACTATCTAAAACTAGGGGATCAGTCTTTCTTCTTTTGTGCCTTAAAAAAGAAAATGCCAGATTTTCTTCTGTTTTGAACAGGGTGCAGAAGATGACTGCTGTCCCAAGACCAAAGACGCACATGGTTTGCTTCCAGGTTTCTTTCCTGTCGCCGAGCTGTGTGCAGTGTTTGCCAGTGTCCACCTGCCTTTTACCAAGCCGTGGAGAAGCAGGCGGTCAGTGAGCTGTGCCCTGCAGAGTCCACTGGGGATGAAAGGTGAACGCTAGGCTAGACCAAGGTTCACACTCTGCTATCAATGCTCCAGTTTCTAACTGCACTTAAACGTAGCTATGCCAAGGACGTGGCAAGATGATGCATTTAAACACGGAATTTGCTTAAAGCGCATTCTGTTTCTTGAAACAGTCCAAAAGCTGTTCGGCGAGCTGCCTGGCCTGCCTTGACCATCATTTTTTCAGCGGTGGTTCTTAGGTTTAGAAAACCCAAACAGAAGGAAAACATGTGAAAGGATGACTTTGATAAACTTGTCAGATATATCAAAACTGTCGCTAATATCCCTGCTCCAGCAATCCGACTTATCTTAGTTGATGGCTGGTTTCAGAGACTCGCCAATTTTCCAACCACGCCGTCAGTTCCTACAGTCTGCAAATGCACTTTACGGACTGACGTGCCCCAGGGCTGTCCCGGAGCGAGCTGTGCCGATACTCGGCGCGGTCAGTTTTGGGAACGCTGGACCCCTCTCCCAAGGCACCGGCACCGCCAACCGCGCCCGGGATGTGGCCTCACCGCCACAGCCTCGCCTCCCAATCCCACTGCTTTTTCCCTCTGGACTCCCTCCATGGCTCCCTCCAGCCTCCTCACTGCCTGGCCTGGCCAAAGTAGGACGCTTAGTTTCCTTTTTCTGCCGGCTTATTTTTAGGAAGAGCCCTTCCCGCGGACACCGGCACGGCGCAGGGAGCCTATCCCACGCACCGCGCGTCTTCCGACCGACGTCCCGCCCGCCCCGCTCCCCCGCCGCTCCTTACGCCGAGGAGGACCATGCCGAAGATGATGGCGACCATCCATATGAGGCGGGAGCGCTGGAAGTGGCAGCTGCCATCGCGTCCCCGCTCCGCCGCCGCCGCCATCGCTCGGTGCGTGCTCTGCCCCCGGCGCGGCCCGCGCGCTAAGGCCGCCGAGGGCGGGGCGGGGCGGGGCCGGGCCACCGCGGGCCGGGGGGGGGGGGGGCGGCCTCGTCCACCCCCGGACGGGGAGGGGGGGGAGGGACACGGTCCCTGCCCCGCAGCCGGGGGGGCCGCGCCAAGTGCCACACTTTGGGTGCAATAACCCCCTGCAGCGCTACAGGCTGGAGGCAGAGTGGCTCGAAAGTGGCCCGGTGGAGAAGGACCTGGGGGTGCTGGTCGACAGTGGCTGGATATGATCCAGCAGTGTGCCCAGGTGGCCAAGAAGGCATCCTGGCTTATATCAGGAATAATGTGGCCAGCAGTACCAGGGCTGTGATTGTCCCCCTGTCCCACTGTTGAGTCCACATCTTGACTGCTATGTCCAGTTCTGGGCCCCTCACTGCAAGAAAAACACTGAGGTGCTGGAGCGAGTCCAGAGAGGGGAAATGAAGCTGGTGGAGGGTCTGGAACACAAGTCATGTAAAGAGCAGCTGAGGGAGCTGAGGTTGTTCAGCTTGGAGGAGACTCAGAGGTGACCTTAACTCTCCCTACAACTACCTGAAAGGAGGTTGTTGCCAGGTGGGGATCGGTCAGCCTCTTCTCCCAGGCAACAAGTGACAGGACAAGAGGACACAGGAGAGCACCAGGAGAGGTTTAGGGTGATTAGACATTGGAATGGGCTGCCCAGGGAGATACTGGAGTCCAGCCCTGGAAGTTGAAGGAAAGACCAGACACAGTACTGAATGCCATGGCCTAGTTGACACAGTGGTGTTCGGTCATAGGTTGGACGTGATGATCTCAAGAGGTCTTTTCCAACCTAAGTGATTCTGTGCCGAACGCGGTATGGAACAGCACAGAAGCTGGAGAGAGCTTTCCAGCTTGACGCTTTGCCACTTCACCGCAGCGCTCCTCTTAGGGGTGGAGGAAAAAGCAGGAAATGCAGGAAATGGGACAATCTCAGCAGGTGCGGCCCGAGATGCACCCGCTGGCCCGGGGCACCCCGCAGGGACCGGGCCGCCCTCTCGTGGCACCGGGAGCGAACGGCACCGGGCGGGATCGGGAGGTGCCTCCCGCCGGAGTCCCGGGCCCGGGAGGGCGCGGGATTGTCCCTGGGGCGAGGGCACAGTGTCCCGGGGCTGTCCCTGCGACAAGGGCACGGTGTCCCCGCCGCAGCCCACCCGGGGGTCACAAACTGCAGCAGCGCTCGCTACGGGGCTAAAATAAACAGGTGTTGCCCTTCTACCACTGAGCAGTTCAGTCATTATTTGGAACAGTACATAATACCTTTTTGAAAACTACCAATTCAGATTGTATTAAATCCAGCATTTTCTACTCTATGCCCTTTTGGGACACTGGACTCGGAGATGAACTTGTCCAGAGAAGTCACCAGGACCTTGGGAAAGGTTCCCACGGGTAGAACTGTTGGCAGATGGGATGAGGGTTCATGCTTTCCTTTGAACTTTGCTACCTTTTTGCTTGACAGAGACTTTGACAGTGTAGAGACAGTGAGGAATGTTGACTATGCTGTTCCCTCTCCTCGCCTGAAGGCTAAACACCTGCTCTTTTAACTATGTGTTAATGACGTGTCTGTAAAGCTGTTCTCTGCAACAACTAATGCAGCATGTCCTGACATATCCCCTGCATGAATCCTGTGTTTCAGAAAATGGTCACTATAGAAGGGTTAGTTTTGTTCTGTCCTGAGGCTGTTCTGTTTCCCTGTCTCTATTTCATTCCGGGCTGTTCCTGCCCAGAGCACCATACAGGGGTTTTCTTGTTTGTTTGTTTGTTTTTCTGGAATGTTTTTTGGAGATTATAGTAGGGTTTGGTAAGAAATTCCTGCAGTGGTAAAACTGTTCCTGGGAGCCCATCTACAAAACTCAGTGAGGTTGGCTATGTGGAATTCCACCTGCTTAATAAATTTCCCTGGTTTGCTTTGCTGATGCAGGAGAGCAGAGTGTGTGGCCCCACTTACATCTTAGTATCTGGCAGAAATTTCTAAAATTCTGGGGTTTTTTTTTGTTTGTTTTTTTTTTTGTTTTGTTTTGTTTTGTTTTGGTTTTTTGGGTTTTTTTTGTTTGTTTTGTTTGTTGGTTTTTTTTTTTTGTTTTTTTTTGTTTTTTTTTTTTTTTTTTGGTTTTGGTTTTTTTTTTTTTTTTTGGGTTTTTTTGTTTGTTTTTGTGTTTTTTTGGGGTTTTTTTTTTGTTCCTCTTTAGAACATTCTACACAGACTTCTGCCTTTCTGTAATTCCATGTCCAAAGGTTGTGCTGAGATCCTGAGATGGGCCGAGCTTTGTGGCAGAAGTGCCTCGGACTGCCCCACACAAGGAGAACCCACCTTGCCGCGCACCAAATACCTCGTCTAAGGAAGTAAGGCAAGTGTGCGAGAATGAAATCCAAAAGCAACTCAGTTGCCGAAGGGATGTGCTGCTGCGCGGAGGTGACTGGAGAGGGCAGTCAATACACAGGAAAGATACAGGCTGTCAGCAACCCGGCGCTGCGGCAGCATTTGCTTTGTTAGGCTGGGTTTGGTGGCCAAAAGTGGCCAGGAGAGGTCAGAGAGGATGTCATGTCACCCGTTCTGCCGCACTGCCGTGAGGACTGACCGCACTGTGATATCGTGGGCGGAGGAGGGGGAGCTGGCCTCCTCTTCCTCCTCTGCTGCCAAAAATAATTGATTTATCTTTTATTAAGCGATATTCTTCCTGGGCTGGATAGACCATGGTCACAAAACAGCTTCATGTGTGACAGCAGCCCCCACTCGCTGCCAGTGACACAGGCAGCTCCACCAGCCCTGGGCACGGACTTGAAAGTGAAATAGTTCATGAAGACAACCCCCTGCTCAGACCTTTTGTGGGGGTGGACTTCTGGAAGTTACATTTCAAATCCAGGACAATGGCTTTGACCCGGCTTTTTTAAAAAGGCTCTTTCTTTTGACAAATATATGAGTCTTTGGAGTATTTAAGAAGCTGAATAGAGTTCCAGTTTTAAAAATTTAAAACCAGAAGTCCTGTTGCATCATCTGGTCTGGCCAGCACAGGCCATTCAATTTTATCTTGTTTCTCTGAATTGACCTCAGTGAGTGACTTGCTTTTACTTAAAGCATACTTTTCAAGGGACATTTTATCTTACTTTGAAGGTGGCAAAAGACATAAAATCCACTGCTTCCAATGATTATTCTTTCTTGTGTCTCTTAGGTTAGATGTACCTAACAACTACTTTTGAGGGATTAATTTTCCAGAGTAGCTGAAAAGCCTGCTGTTTCATATTTTGCAAATATTTGCATTTCTGCCCTCATATTTTGGACAGACCAGCTATCTTTGTGGCTTCAACACTGGAAATCTTGTTTGTCAGTGAATTGCTTTTATTGGCAAGTATCATCTAAACTGGAAACTACAAATCCCAAACACTGTTACGTGAATTATTGAAAAAAAATGCAGAACAAATTCACTTTGCCAAGTTTACAGGGAGTTAAACTGTTTTACCACAACTTCGGAGATTTCTACTTTGGTTTCCTTTCCTTTTCTCTTAATTAGTGCCAGAAAGTGACTGAATGAAGCCCTGGCATCCTGTTATGAACTGGCAGCATGCTACACACCAAAATATCACCTGAGCGCAGACAGTGGGAAGCGAGATTTAGATTAATAGTTGGGAACAGACATGTCAGTTGTGACAGGATAACCACAGCTCCATGTTCTTTCTCAGGCCTTTCCTGTGCTAGAGAACATGCAGATATTGGTAGCTATCAATTGACACAGCTGCCATCACGGTGACAGAGCTCTGTAAGCATTTGAAGAAGACGAGCTATCCTGGCTTTGCCCGGCTTCAGGCTGCACAGATTGCTAAACTGAGTCTATTTTGACAGTAGTCAAGGCCATAGAAAAGAGGGAAAGCATAATCTTAAAAACAAGCTTGAAAAGAAAAAAGCATATTCCCTCATAATTTCATACAAACATTTTTCTTTCATTTGCATCACTTGGTTTAGATTTCAAATTAGTTTGGTATTAAATCCATGAGTACTTATTAAGAATCTAAGATTAAAAGACATGTTTGCTACAAGATCAGTAGATAAGGTTACTAACCACATGATACCATGAGAATGGGACATGTGATCCTCTTTGACATTTCAAAGACAGCTACATTAATTTTTAAAAATGTTTTTTTCACTGAAGCTCTGTCCATAGGGTCCTGAGGTCTCTGTGGTGACTGGGTGTGTACACTGAGGTGGGTTAGTTCTGCTGAAAGCAATCGAATGGACCTGTGTATTCTTTCTGCCTAATCCCTGAGAAACAGCTACCTCATTTCCTATGATGTATATATCAATAGATCACTCTCTTCAATTTTCAAATACTGAAGTTTCTGCTGCACCTAGTGGTGGAGAAAACTTGTTCCCTCTTCGGTTTAGAAGCATTTGCTATCTCTAACTTAGAGATATTGACTATCTCACTTTCATTGGGAAGTACAAAGGGTATTTGCCAGGTAGTCTGCCTCTTTTGTTTGGTGTTCCTGGTAGATGCCAGAGACTAGATAGAGACGTGTTAGCTCTTCCCTGTCTTTTAAAATTCCTTAAAATAAAGGGGGAGGGAGGATTAGTCAAATTCAGACCAAATTTTAGGGTGTGAGTCATTGTACTGGAGTCAGTGATGTGACTTCTTTAAACAGCAACTTTCTGTATAGGTAAGGATTAAGGGACTGGGCTTTTTTAGGAAGTTACTTGAAAATGAACTGCAGCCAGTTTTAAACTGGATTTGAAGCTGGTATAAAAGAGATGAGATGCATTCAGTTACCTAAGTTACCTAAAGACATGGAATTATCAACAGGGCTTTTTATTATCAGGGTTAAATGACAAAATGCTATAATGAAACTAATGCAAGTAATGTCTGATTCCTAATGTAACTAGTTAACATGGCTGTTCCTCTATAATTTTTAATTTTTAATGGGGACTTAAAATTGTGTCACCTTAATCTTTTAGTTCTAAGACCAGAGAAGCTAAGGAAAAGTATGGTCTTTAAAAGTATTTCATGTTGCAGTTTGACAGGCATTACAGTTTTGAGTTAATGGTCAAGATTTTCAGCAGATTCCCATACTTGCAAAAAAAATGTGAAGTGTAATGAGATGTGCATTAGAAGAAACAATGTAGTGTGGTAATTCTGCTTCTTCTTGTAGTGAATAGTCTTTGCAACATGGAAGTATGTATCCTTCTCATTTGTAGTTGGATTCCTTGGATGTTTGATAAAACTAGTTCTCTTCTAACACATTTATTACATAACTGTAAGCATAATTCAAGCACTGGAAATTGTCAGCTATAAAGGTTCCAGACAAATACTTTATTCTTTGTAAGGACTAAGAACTAGGTAACACTTACAAAGGTATGAATTTCTCATTGATTTTACTACAAATCCAGTCTGTACATTTTAGAGGCGAATTTTTGTCAGAGTTCCATATGCTCATCCTAAAAATATCACTGTAGCGGTTTTTTTGTTATTAAAATGGAAGAGAAAGGTGAAACAGCTGCTTTTGTCATTACAAGCTTTGGCCAATGTTGCATTAATAAGCCTTTGTAAATAGACAGCCAAGACTCACAAGTTTGAAGTCTGGGTTGCACAGAGATCTTCAGTTTTGAGCAGCTGTGCACTTTACAGTTCTGTATTTGTTTTTACCAATATCTGCTGGAAGTCAGTAACTCGAGTCCTACTGGACTATTTGGGAGATGAGAAGCAATAGGACTGACAAGGGAGGTTAGAGAAATAGTTCTTTGAACAGGGAGGAGAAGACTCCAGACAACTTGTCTCCAGTCCTAGCAGACTAGCCTTAAGGCCAAATTCACTCATCTTTAGGCAACTAGTTATCATAATCAGGTTCAGCAAGCCATGATGTTGTGGTTTGTTGTATTTCTATAGTATCATGTGGGTGCTTGTATTCTGTCAGCACAAGAAAAAGATAGTCCTTTTCCTAAAATGTCTGCAGTTCAGAGGTCTGATCCTCTCAGAGTCCACAAGTGTTTCTGGAGCTGATCAGTCATTGAGTATATGGTGACAGACACTTTCTTACAAAGGAAGGGAGACAGGGAAGGAGATGGCAGAGATCATGAGGAAAAGTATTACCATAAAGTAACATAGACTGTGAACCTGACTCTACTGGGCATGAAATACTGCTACATTTAAATGAAATCATATTTATCTCAGTGGTGCTGGAGCAAGAAACAACTTGCCAGACTTAACTGAACTCAGTAATCCTCTGGAGGCCTAGGCTAGATATCTGGAGGATATTTTATACACAGTTTTATGTTTCTTGAGGCAGGATTTTAGTGGCCACAGGTTTTCTACTGCATGAGTTCCTGTGTGGCTTTCCTACTCTGTGCTCAAAGAGGTCAAGAATACTCATAATTTGTTCATTAGGCTTATCAAAAATGGAAATCCTACTCCAGGCTGTTCCTGCACTGGTGTGGACTTTGCTCTGCTAATTTGCCCTTCCCTGTGGTCATGCTAATCCTTCATAGGCTCAGGCTCAGCCTGTCCAAACTCCAAATCAGTGCTCTGTGTGGCTGTGTGAGGTGGGTCTGTCCCACAGAACAGAGGTGTCCCTCCACCAGAGTAGGAGACATTGTACTGCATGAGACTGGGGGCACTAATCACTACCTTCCCAGCTATCTTCCTTCCAACTCCTAAGACTTTTTTTCCACTGCCTAGAAAAAAATGACTAGTGTTGAGCACCACCAGGCTACCACTTAATAAAGACAAAATGTTTGCAAACACTTTGGTTTCAGTTTTACCTGGGGTCTTATTTTCTTTCAAAATTAAGGCAGCCTTCTCTTTGAAAGGGATGACAATTTCTTTCAGGATTGTCACAGGACTAAAAAACTCACCAGTAGGCAGCATAGTGACAGTATAAATAAGAAACTACTCTCAGGTTTCACAATAGATTACCATTACAACTCAAAAATGAGATCTTGGAGTTTGATAGATAATTCTATGAGAAGGCAAGCTCAGTGAGCGTCAAAAAGACAAAGCAAGTGTTAGGAGCTAATAGGAAAGCAAAGGAAAAAACCCTGCACCTTATCTTCATAATAGTTAAAACACCATGATTCCTTTCCATCTTAAATTCTGGCAGTCATTCTATCTTCTTGTCTCAGGAAGGACACTGTACCACTGGAAAAAGCTCTGAAAAAGGCAATGTGAATGATCAAAGGCATGGAGCAGATACCATAGGGTGAGTAATCATGGACCGGCTACCACAAGTAAGATGGGAAAGAGGTGGTTGAATGTAGAAAGTGATGGGGTTTGGTTAAAAAATGGGCAGTGTGAACTGCTGGACTCAGTGAAAGTCACTCCACATCTTGTGTGGGAGGCAGTGAGCACAAATGATTTTAGCAGGCTACATGTTCAGAACACATAAAGGTAACCATTGTTTCATGTAACCCATGGTTAAGTCCTAGTTAGAGGATGATTAGGAAGCTAAAATTTTACATACGTTCAGAAAAAGACTGAATAAATTCACAAAACAGAAACTCTCATCCATGTCAGAAAATCTCTGGGGCCAAAATGACCAAGGTCATCATGATAATTACTAAGTAAAAGTACCACAACGTCACTTACTGAACTGGTTATAGATCCTAGACTGGTATCTGTTTTTGGTTATCACTGAAGAGTTAAATATCAGGCTAGCAGACATTTAGTCTTAGCAAGTATGACCCTTTTTTACCATTTCTCTAGATTTTAGATAATTACAATCAGTTCAATGGATTATTTTAAGAGTTAAATATAAGAAACACTTAAGTGTGAGACTATTCCAAGTTATGGGAAACCGGTCTAATGCCTTTTTCACCTTGAAATCTACAGATTTTAGTGGGAACTAAGTCAGAGCAAGACTGGTAGGTCTCAAAAGTGAATGGTGTTTTCAGCAATATTGTTTTCCTCCACCCTGAAGTGTTAGAAACAACATTCATTTCACATAGGAGAAAAGGCTAGAGCAATGCTTTGACATAATAAAGATGTTTACTGTAAGGGAAAGCTCAGTGCAGGTGATAGCTCTCTCAAGAGCCAGTTCTGAACTGGGGAATGAATTCTCTTGGAAAGCAAAGATTGTCATAAATTTCACCCTCTTTTTGCTCGAGGTCCAAAATATGCCTCTACCCTGCTTTTCCTGATGACATATCATGGAAGTGTGCCTGTCTGTACATTGAATTGTTTTTCAAAACAAGAGAGGCTGCTGTAAATGCCCCTTTCCCCAAAGAGCAGGTGAGAACACAACCTCACTTGTCTGCTCATGTTCTCTGGAGGGTTCCTGGACACATCTGGCCGTGACAGTACTGAGCATAGGGTGAAATCTTTGTGGATGAGAACCCATGTTGCTTTGCTGAATTCTACCATTTTCCATTTGAACATGAAATCTCTTTGCAGTTCTCCAGGGTTGTTTTGTAGCATTTTTATTTCAGTAAGAGCTGCCTTTTACTACCAAGCCCATAATTAAAGCAGTGGTAAGTAATGGGCTGCAAAAGGTGTACCAAAAGATAATTAAAGATGCACTGCAGAGCATGAGCATCCTTTTTACGAGGTGTTAATGTCTGAAGACCAAGTAGTGAAATTGATTTTGCCTCCTTCAGGATGAAAGTTCTGCTCAAACATCAATAGCACTGTACTGCCCTAGAAAACGTTTGATGTAGGAATTTCTTAAAGGGTGTTTGTCCTAAGACTCCCCAGGCAGGCACCTGTGACAGCCCATGCTGCACTGGGTAATTCGGCATCCCATTCATGCTAGCAGGATTTTGGGGTCACCTTTGCAACTCCTAACTCAAGAAGGGCTGCTCTGGAGGGAGAGAAGTGAGGTTCTCCCAATGCCCTGGATTAAATAGATGCAACCCTTTTTTTTGAGAACATTTTAAAGAGCACTGTGACTAGTCATTATCTAACAATGATGTTGTCTCTCCCAAATGCACACATATCTTCCATTTCTGTTCTATTTTGAGTATATTCCACATGTGATTTGGACTCCTCTGTAGATGTACTTATACCACAACTGGCATAAAGGAACCTTGACAGAGTGGGTTTCCACACTTGGACTCTACTTCAATCTATAGCAAAATGCCATGGATTTTTGTGGAATTCTGAAGACAATCTATGAACTAAAGAGACACTGGTTTTGTTAAGCATGCTGCTTTGGGTATACCTGCTTCTTTCCCCACACTCATCCCATTCCCATATTTGTGAAATGAATCAAAAATAGGTGGCAGAATACTATTTTTCCAATAGAGTTTAGAGAGGAGATGCAAGAGCTCACAAACAGTTGTTTTGATTATCACTGACATGCAGCAGCACAACGATGCCAAGGGAATTCGGGCAGCAAGAGCTGGTCAGTGTTGTTGGCTGGATTAGTGTTTGTGGCAGAAATTAGCTCTTGTGTTAGGCCAAGTCCATAGGTCTCAGCAGAAGAGGGTCAAGAGGAGAGGGAGTAAAAGATTACTATCTTCTTTCCTGGAATGTCACTTAGTAACAAAACTCTCTTTCAATTAGCATTGCAAAGAAAATCTTTGAAAATGAAGGGTGCAAAGAGGCTGCCTGGCAGAATGCCTGAAACAATAACTCCGGGAAGTGTGAACTGCTCTCCATAGCTAGAGGATGTTAACAAAAGCCTAGTCTATCTGACCCGAGCTAATGGTCGTGGACAGTCACTGTTAGCAAGCAGTGCAAGTCCGTGCAAGTCTCTGCTGGCTCCTTCTTATCTCTTCTGCACTGGTTGTGTCTATAAGGTGTGTATGTGTGAGTGGGAGGAGATGATTTCCCTGTTCTTTTGAGATCGGTATTGCAGGCTGCCTGCAGGGGCAGCTTTATGTTGTAGTTATCTCCATGACATGATGTTTTCTGCTGTGAAAATTGAAAATCCAGAAAGAAAACTGAAGATATTTTTTCTAGTTTTCCTTGTGGCCAGACTGAATGAGTGAAGTATCTTTGTACCCTAGAAATATCCTTGGTATCCTTGATCCAGTTTATCAGGCACCCCATGGACAGAATTGCAGAGAGATAGAAAAGTCATATGCAATTCCATACTTTATTGTGCCAATTCAAATCGGGGCTCCCCCATTCTCTCTTACCCTTATCCCATGCTGGTGCTTGCCAAAAACTACACCGGCCAAAAAGAAAACCATTGTCTTTTATTTTTTTTTTTCTTTATGCAATGGGCAGCTCTGTGAGCTCTTGGCTCATTTCTAGGCAAGTGTACACTGGAGATGGTATGTGCAGGATTGTGTGCAAAGCCATGTGGAGGCTTAAAGACAGGTAGAGTTGAACTCTGCATGCTCAGAAAAAGAAGCAATAGCTGAAGTTGGCTTTGCTGTAGAGAAGACTGTCAAAAAAACTATGCCTCCAAGCTTTAAGTCTGCTTGTTGTGTCTGAGCCTTCGTCTACATATGTCTCTCAACAATAAAAGTGAAATAAAGCCAAAGGACTAGTAGCACATCTTGACTCTACCTACAACTGCTGAACCACTTTGTCACCCGACACTTTTCTCCTTTCTCCCACATAACAATGCTCACTTAAATACAAATTTTACCTTCCATATGGACAGGAAAAACTCCAAACTATCCTGGAGCTCTGGAGGAGAAAAGAAATCTTGTGGGATGTATCTGTGCTATGACAGTTCAGGCTTATGGGGATACTATGGTCGAAGAAAGGCGAGAAGTACTGAGAAATTGCTTCAAGCTGTTGTTTCCAGATGTTTTGGACTACTTGGTGCTATCACCCCTCTGGAATTCTCACTGTCTTCACATGCACTTCTGCTTGAAAATATTATTAAGGTAAAGTGATTTCTGAGGGCATTTACCTTGCCTTATGGACAGAGTTGCTAAAGGAATCCAGTCTCTGAAGTACTAGATTGACAGGGGCTGACTGTCATCCCTGTCTGGAAGGTCATTAATTTTTTGTTGTGAAGCACTGCAGTGGTGTGGGTAATGTTAAAACCTTTGTGCAGCTCAACCCAAAGTGGCTGCATGGACGGTGGATACACTGGTCCCTGCAGAACGCAAACAGTATGTAACAGCTCACAGACTTTGTCCCTGTACCCTTTAGCTTCAGAGCAAGCTGGACAAGGTCCCAAATCTGAAAAATGAATGGGGACATGGTGAGATGAAAAACATATGAAGTAATGATGCTGCTGTTCTTGAACACCTTCAGTGATAGCCATTAATGGCCTCATTTGACAAATTATTACACTGACTGATTTGCTGCTGTTCTGACATCTAATCCTTTGCAGCGTTGCAACTGTTGCTCCCTGTAAGTCCTTTATGTCACTCTTGGCTCTCTTAAACAATATTTCTGGACTCTCTTTTAGATTAATATGTCCGTCATGATTTCACCTTGGGCTGATAGCACAGACCTTGCTTGTTCTGTACCTGACTTGGATGAGCAGAGCTGTCTAGAGAGAAAAAAAAAACTGCCATAGGAAAGGAAAACCTTGTGCTGAGCTCTTCAGCATGCACTTGGGAAGGAGCCTACTCCATCTCCCCTGGGTGATCCCCGAGTGTGCTGGGGGAGGGCTTTGTCCTTTATTGTGAACAGCGGGTGTTAATGCAATGTCTAGTAAAGCCACCAGCATTTTATTTACTGCAGTTAAGTCGATGAGAAATGTCCCATGGATGGAAATAGGAGCAGGGTAACCAAACGGGGAAGACAAGGACTTGTCACCCGGGTGTAGTAAGAGCTGGGATGGTTTCCAGTTGGGAGAAGGGCAGTGTGGAGGCCTCCCTGCATCTAGAGGAGTACTGGGTTTCCAGCAGACCCCCGGGCCCGCGGTACAGAGAGAAGGGGAAAGGGGAGCACTCTTAGAGAGCTGAAGCAAAGGTGAAAGATTCTTTCATTGAATTATCCACTCTCCATTTGAATTAAAAAAAGGTGGATGGGCTGGTGGTGACAGCGGGGGCTTCGCTGGGAGACACTTTGGCTCCTTGTATGGGGCGAGCCCTTATTATGTGTATTTTGGTGATGGGGTGACAATGGAGGTGTGGGAGACGGCTCTGAGTCACCCGCGGAGCCCCGGCGGCCCCGGCTAATTGGCGGGGCCGGGCTGGGTGGGTGGGGGTCGCTCAGGGCCGAGGTGAAGGGCTCATAAGGCGCGGAGCGGCCAGAGGCGCCCCACCGCCCGCACACTTCGGCCCCATGGAGCTCGCCAGCCTGACCCCCGCCAGCCCCGGACCTGCCGGTGAGTAGCCCTGGGGCGCGCAGAGCGGGCGGGCGGGCGGCCGTGGGCTTGGTGGCGGTGTTGGTGGTGTTGGTGGCGGTGTTGGTGGCTGTGTTTGTGTCGGTGTCGGTGCCTGTGTCGGTGCCGGGGCCGTCGGGGCAGAGATCCGCCGCCCGGCCCCGCTGACCGCCTCTCCCCGCTGTCTCCCCCAGGAGAGCCCCGGGCGCGCCCCGCCGGTCCCGGCGCGGGGCGAGAGGGAGGCCGGCGCAAGAGAACCACGTTCAGCAAGGCACAGCTGGAGCTGCTGGTCCGCGCCTTCGAGAAGGAGCCATACCCCGGCATCGCCCTGCGGGAGCAGCTCTCCGACCTCACGGAGATCCCCGAATCCCGGATCCAGGTGAGAGGGGCGGGCCGGGAGGACGGGCGGGCGGGCAGCGGGGTGGCTTCCCGGTGGTCCGGGCACTTAGTCTCTGCCGGTCCCGCAGGTGTGGTTCCAGAACAGGAGAGCCCGGCAGCTGAACCGCAAGAAGAGCGAAGCCGCCGCCTACCCCAGGCCGGGCAAGGCAAAGCCGGCCCGGTGCGGCGGCCAAGAGCGGCCACGGGCGCCGCAGGGTCCTGGAGCGGAGCGGAGCCTCCTGTGCCCGCAGCCAGGCCTGCCAGGAGGGAGCCAGAACTTCTGCGGACAGCCGCCGTCTTACTCGGGACAGCCGTACTCAAGGCTCGACATGCATTTCAGGAGCTTGGATAACACTTTTGGAGCTCAGGGTCAGACCCCAGCTCACTTCGGTTTGGACTGCGTGGGAAAAGGGGTCCCACTAGGTGCGGAAAGCATGGGGAGTCCCCCTCAGTTCTCGCTCCCTGTGCAGCAGGCACAGGACTATCCGCACCTGAAGAAATCTTTCCCTGAAAACTACTACTCAGATGCGGATGTTTTCCAGATTTGTATAGAAGATCACCAGTACCTGGCAGCTAAAGAGAACATGTACAGGAGGCCTCTCTTTAACTACATCAGTGCTAACCAGGGCCTGGGTGTTGAGAACTATTCATGTATCAAGTCAAACACTTCTCCCTTTGCAAAGGGCTTCGCTTTCAGTTATGGTGAAGGGGAACCTAAGCTTGAGCTGGAGCAGATGAGGCACAGTTCACCTCTGCTTGAGGCTAGTAATGCTAGTCCTCCTTTGATACTTCCAAAACATGAAGGGGGGTATCAAGGGACACTTGCCACTCCAGCCACATCCTATGGGCAGCAGGTGCTGGAGACAGTAAATGACTACGACTCTCATTGGCTGGGGATGAGAAACGAAATTTTGGGAACAGGGTTAGATTCACTGTTTGAGTATGAGCAAAATGCAGAGCAAGGTGAGCAAAAAAGTTTCCTTTTTGCTTTTGGTGGCCAGAGTTCAACCTGTAATTTGAGTCACACATGAAACTGGCATGCTTGCCTGATGAAGAATTAATGTGATTTTTTGTTCAATTGGCAGTGTTGTCCTAAGTGACTAGAGGTTTTGCAGGTCTAAGTGTGGAGTGCTTGCTCTGAGTTTTGTGCCCTGTCTGGAAGGGAAAGAAAGATAAGCCACATTAGTAAGGGCTACAGGAGAATAAACTGCCAAATGTGTCCCATCCCAGGGAACTGTCACCAAGCTGCTTGCAGTATTCCTGCACGTTTGGTTATTGGCAGCCTCATGTTAACTTGCATGCACAGACTGATCTTCACAAGTATGTCAGTACTGAAGATTTTTCTGTGTTCAGACTGTGCTGGATTAATTCTGCCAGGAAGATTGGGACTATGGTGTTGCTTTTGTGGCCTTACTGCACGGAGTTTTGTTTCTATTCTGGTCATAATTCACTTACTTTAACTTAAGAAATCTGTAGAAAACAGACATTTATAGCTTTTATTGGAGAAAGCATTAACACGAGAAGGGGACAAGCATGGGAAAAACAGCATTGGTGGTGGCAGGGGATGGCTCACTGGGTGTGTCTGCATTTTAGGTGTGCTCCTGATAGAGAACACAGATGTTTTTTCCTGGATACTTAATGTGTAGTGTTTTCATTTAAAAATGACCACACGTGTAGCCTTTTAAAGGGCAATATTTTTGTGACTTCCTTTTGTATAATTTGTTTGCAGGTTGTATTCTTTTTTTTTTTTTGATTGTTTTCAAATTGTAATTTTCTATTTGCCAAATGAAGGTTTTCTGCCTTCATGAACTTGTAGAATTGCACTCAGAGAAGAGAAAAAAAATTCATCTTTGCATTTGCACATTGAGCCTGTTTTTAGAACTCTCAAGATCCATGGCTGTCTGGAAGAGCACTGTAATCATGGAAGTGTTCTTCACATGTGTCTCGGGAGACTGCCATGGTTACATGTTAAAGCAATATCAGACCTACAATGGTGAAAACTCTACGGGTAAATCCTTTTTTGTGTTTAAAATGTGGCTCTTTTATATTTTAAGTATGCCTAGATCTAAATACATATGTTATTAACTTAATTACTTTGTTTATAGAACAAAAGAAACAATGAAAATAAAACTTAACCACAGACCATTATTTTATTAATAAAGTTGATATCCCTGAAGAAGCTGTCTATGGAGATGTGTATACAAGAAGTCCAGAAAATTAGGTCTGACTTTTGTCAGTAGTTTTTAGCTGTGCCTGTAACTTTTCTGCCTTGACCTGAAGGAATGTGGCACACTCGCGTATCACAAAAGAACCATGGCTTCAGACAATAGCTGCAAGGCACAAGAAGTTGCATCTGAGAGCAAAGGCTAAAGAGGTGTTTATATTTATGATTGTATATATGACTCCTTTAGTTAACTTTTTGAAAAAAAATTTCATTAAGACTCATTTCTTTATTTACATATACCCTCTCCCTCATAAGACCTTCTTAATGAGAAGGCACAGACAGAAAAGTAGTAATTTTACCCATGAAAAAGACAAGAAAGTGGTGCTCAAAACTGTGTAGCAAAACAGCCTTACTTCATGAAGAGTGAGGTAAAGAGGAAGAGAAAAAAGCACATCTGAAAGAATAATACACACCATTAACCAACAAGGCTGGGATTTGGTTCCTCTCTGGGGTCAGTGGGCACCTGGCAGGTAGCACAGGGTCTTCCCATGGTATCCTCCCTGCTGATCTCAGTGTGTGGTAACCAGCACCCTCTTATCTCATGGGGTCTCAGGCAAGGAATGGGAAGGTCACTGTTACAGGTCTCAGGTGAGGCTGGTCCCTGCAGTGCATCCAGCTGTTTCCCTGTCACTCCGGAGGCATCCTATTCTGTCAAAGCTGCACTGAGGCAGCTGTGGTAGGTGTTTGGTGTTGAGCTGTCAATCCTGGCTGCTCTAATAATACTGGATATTCCATTATAACCCCTTCATCTGGTATTCACCTTCCCTTATTAGCAAACCCACATTTCCACCGCTGAAGTCAAACACACTCTGAACACTTCCTGTGAGCAAGTACTACAACAAAAAAAATCATTTTTCATCACAGAGCTACCTACTGCTCAGAGTAGAGCTCTTCTGTAAACTACCGGTTTTCTTTATTTTGTTACAAGTTGCTTTTAACACACCTACCCAGCATATATTTCACAAAGAAGAAAAATCTGTGCAGAGTCATTGGATGCTATACTCTAGTGATGTTCCTGTATACTTTCTCTCCTTGCTGTGAGGTAGAGAATGCCAGAACAGAAATTATATGCTTATTCAACACATAGGAGGCACTGTCACAACAATGGTATCAGTACCTTCCCCTGGACTTGCATGCCAACAGCATCTCTGCTGTCATGTTAGTACATGATGCTAAGGAAGAGGTGGAGCAGGAACCAGGTGTGTTCAGTATTGGACTACTCTTCTGCCTGCAAACCACTCCTGATTATATGAGAAGAGAGGATTTTGCATGCTAAATGTTGAAAGCTGTATTTTCTTCCATATAACTTATCAAAAAGAGATATTGAGGACCCAAATTCACCAATGTGGTTTACAGTCAGCCTGGGCCTACCCCACTGCTGGGTGTTCCGAGTTCCTCATGATGCAGGATTCTGCAAATCACATTCCCTTCTTCTCCAGCAGCAGGACCAATGTGACAGCAGCAAGTCCTCACTGGAAGCCACCTGCCTGGGAGACAGGATCAGGCCAGCATCACAGAAGGAGCAGTTCACGACCTGGACACCTCTTTAGCAGACCTGTGCCTTGCTGATGGTTCATGCCATCTGGCAAATCACCCCAGAGAAGGCTCTTCACTTCATTAAGCAGGGTCTGTACCTATAACTCTCTTCAGGGGGACTCACCTTCAGGCATGGGCACAGACCTGAGATAAAACAATGACTCACTTCTCACCCAGGGTACCTTGCCCCGGCATGTCTGGTCCTGTCCCTGTGGGTGGAGGGCTTAATGCCTGCAAAAAGCCCCCATCCAAGTGCGTTAGTGATAGGATGAGAGAATGTAAGCTGCACCAGGAGAAGTTTAGGTTGGATATAAGGAAGAATTCCTTAGCAGAAGGCATGATAAGGCACAGGCATGGACTGCCCAGGGAGGTGTGGATGCCACCCATGTTTATACCAATTTAAGGACAGACTGGACGTGGCACTGAGTGCCCTGGTCAAGGTTGTCAAGGTGGTGTTCGGTCACAGGCTGGACTCCACGACCTCAGAGCTCTCTTCCATCCAGCCTGGATGTTTCTGTGATTCTGTGGCTGCGTTCGAGTTCACCGCACTTAAAAGCCTTTCATAGGCTTTTACCCTCTGACCTGTTTGCCCTCCCACGGCCCTTGGCAAGGATCCACTTTTTTATCTTTTTCACACGCATTGCTGGGGCCACACCAGCCGCTTCACACGGGGGCTGCCCCGAAACCCGGGGGGGCAGCGGAGGGGGCCCCCACGCCTCGGTGCTGTGGGGCCGGCCCCGCCGGGCAGCTACCACGGGCTTGCGGGGAAGTCATTTATTCACAAACAAGCGAAGAGGGGCCGGTTCCCGTGGCTGATTCCCTGCTCCCAGTTCCCGGCTCCCGGGGCCGGAGGGACACCGTGTGCGCCGGCAATACCGCTCCGCCGCAGCCGCCGCCGCGCCCGGAACTCGGCGCGCAGCCGCTGTTTCCGGGGGAGCTCTGGAAGGGGCCGGTCGGTGGGAGCACACGTGGAGCGGGCGGCGGGACCGGAGCGGACCCGGCCCGGGCTGACCCCACAGCGGTGTGAGTGCGACGGCATTGCACAGCGGTGCGGGTGGGACAGCACTGCACAGCGGTGCGGGTGGGACAGCACTGCACAGCGGTGTGGAGGGGGGACGCCATTGCCCAGGCGTGTGGGTGGGACAGCACTGCACAGGGCAGGTGTGCACAGGGCAGCGGCCCCGTGGGAGGACCCGGTCCCGCCCTCAGGGCCCGCGATGTGCCCGGCATCCCCCTGCCGCGGGTACGGGCCGTGCCCCTCGCCCGCCGCCCCGTCGGGGCACTGCGGCCTGCCCGGAGCCCCGCGGCCCCGGCTCGGAGGGCCCCTGTGCTGCCGTGAGCTCTCGAGGCCGCGCAGTGCGAGAACGAGCTCCTTTCCCGAGCTGGTCAGGTGGTGCTGGCACGGTGAGCCCTTCTCCCGCAGGTGTGTTTTCCGTGTGTGCTCTTTGTGCTCACTGCCTGGTCTTCCTGTGCCAGCTGAGCCCAGAACCGAACAGAGGAAATCTGCGTCTTACCGGTTGTAAACAACTGCTGGAAGAGTGAGATGGAGGAAAAAGAGAAGAAGAAGCATCGTGCGAAGCACAGCGGGCCAAAGGCAGAGAAGAAAAGGAAGCGTTATCTCAACGACCTGGGAATAGGAGATGAGGAGGATGCACGGAAGAGAAACCCCAAAGCCTTTACGGTGCAGTCTGCTGTGCGGATGGCCAGGACCTTCCATCGGTAGGAAGTGGAAATTGGTTATAGAGCATGCAGGGTCAGCTGGATGGACAGGTGTTGGCTGGGATTACTTTGTTGCTTTGTCTGGAAGGCATTCTAATTCTAATTCACCAGGTTGTGTTGTAGTCTGTGCCTGTGTCAGAAGTGTGATGCTTTCTGCATCTGTGTTACACGGTACAGCTGTGTTCATCAGTGATAAAAAAAGGTATAGCTCCTTAGACTCCATGGGAGTTCCACATACATTTTAGTATCTGGGCTGAGGGTGAACCTTTGTTTCCAAGATTTTGCAAAAACTGAAGGCTTTCAAAGAATAAACATTGCTGTTTATTACATTCCTCTATTTATTTATTACAAATTTCTTCTCAGAACTCAGGACTTGAAGACTAAAAAACATCACATTCCTGTGGTTGATCGCACTCCTTTGGAGCCACCTCCAGTGGTCGTGGTTGTAGTCGGCCCTCCCAAGGTTGGGAAGAGCACTGTGATAAAATGTCTCATTAAGAACTTCACAAGGCAAAAGCTGGTTGAAATCCGGGGTCCTGTTACAATTGTTTCAGGTGAGAACAAAGAAATGGAAGTGCGTATTTTGTGCTCCTTATTTGTCTTGCTTTTAGAGCTAGGATGTGTCCATGTTCTGTAATTTTTGGTCATTTTGAAAAAATCATTTGGATGTGTGATCAGGCATACTTACTAACAGTAAGTTATTACTTACTTACATACTTATTAACAGTAAGAGTGAGATTTGGGCTTTGGGGGGACTTGTCACTCTGAGCTTGATTTTCATTCTGCTGGAATCCCAGTTCTCTTTTGGTTTTTTTGGTTTTTGTTTCTACCTTTCTGACTTTTTTCCCAGTTTCTTCCACCCCTCAAACCATTCACAACTTTGCCTTTTCTAGTGGGTTCTGTTTTCCCTTTTGAACTCTTTTTCTCTGGCTTCATTTTAAGCTCTAAACATGTTTCATATTCTTTCAGTTTCGCTGTCCTTGTGTACCTTTCTTTCTTAAGCCAAGGATTACTTTGCCTAGCCAGTTCCACTTACATTTCTCCACCTCACCTCTTGGTCAGTTCCTTCTCCTTTTTGTTAAGTTTTCAGTCCCAGTTTCCATTTGTCTTGGTTTGTTCCCTTCATGTGTTTCCCTAAATGTTACCAAGGGGATCACTGAGGTTCTATGCACAGCCCACAGCACTCAAGGCACAAATTTGTAAGGGAGATCTTGCTTGAAGACGGATAACTGTATGTTTGGTGCAGGTAGACTCTTCAGAGACTTTAACTAACAAGTCTTGTTTTTGCAAGGAATGATTGACAAAAATGGGAAAGAAAAAATGGAAAGAAAATTCACATTTCATTTGATTTCCTAATTGGTCTACTGGATCTCAAGTGTTGAATTTTTCAGTTGAAAAGATTAAGAAATAACCCATGATACCTGTTGTCTGTAGTTGCTTAAAGTTGTTACTAATGTCTTAAGTTCAATTACCTGACTTAAGTTAGTCAAGCCAAGTTATCAGTGGGTACTTTTTTTCTCGTTTGAATACATGTTAATAAATTTTTTGCTGTGTTAATCCTCTCTTTTTTTTAAAGGCTTGAACAGAGTGTATTTTTTCCTAATAATATCCAAAGAGCAAAAATATATGGTAAAATAAAATTCACAGTGTTAACTGGGGTGCTAAAGACAAAAGAAGCAGAGATTTTTTTTCCC